CCAGCCTCTCTGTGGCTTCCCTACAGTGTCTGGGTTGAATCACTGAGAACTAGCTCAACAGCAGGCAACACTGCCACTGGCCTTTACTGGTACTGTCTGGCTTCTCTGACCATCCGACCCTTCGGATCTGCAGAAAGTGATAAACACCAGGTTGTACACGCCTTCTTTCAGTCTCTTTCCTTCCTTCCTTCCAGGTTCCCAACCCAATCTGCAAATGACTCCAAGACATTCCTTCACTTGGAAATATCAAAAATGAGTGAACTGGCAAGAAGAGGAAGCTCATGGGAGAAAGAAAGGGAGGGAGAGAGGGGAGAGAGAGAAAAGGAGAACGAGAGACAAAGAGTGAGGCAGCTAGAAGGGGTTGCCTTTCCACTTCAGTAAGACCGCGGTCACTACACCACTGTATTCCGGTGTCTGTAGGGCGGCGGGGGCAGCACAGTGCCAGGCTTCAGGGAGAACTCGGAGAGGTATTCAGGATTCTCTGCCACAATGGGCCGGATCCGTCCATTCTGTTTGTAAAAGTATTTTGTGCTGTACTCTTGCAGGTAGTCCGGGTGCTGGAGGGTGCTTCGTGGGGGCAGGCTGTGATTCCAGTAGTCTGGGTTGTCAAAGGCCTTCTTGGCTTTCTCCGGCAAATTGTTCTTCAGGTACTCGGCATTTTCCAAGGTGTTTGCAAAAGTGTTGAGGTACAATGGCTCGTTCACGTACTCATCCTCTGCTTTGGGCTGCCCGTTTGGAGCGTTGTGATACTCTGGGTTGTCCACAGCTTGGAGATCTCCATTCTTTCGTCGGGAAACAAATGGGTTCTCTTCCACTGGGTTTAGGTAATCTAAGGAAAGATTGAAAATAAATCAGCAAAAAGAGGGAGTAATCCATCCATGTAGCAAGCATCATATGTGCGTTAGTACCAGGCTGTACCAGAAGCAGTACTCGACTTGTGCATCCTTCCACCCCAGCCACTCATTCCGGCAAAGCTGGAAACTAAACTGCAGCTCTCACTGAGCCAAACATGCCGAGCGACTTCTGCCTCTGCTGCTGACTCTCTCGGCAACCTTGGACGTATCAGTCAAACCCTCTGCTCCGCAGTCTTTCCATCCAGAAAGCTCTATAGAAATCTTAGTTAAGCCTCTCTGCACAAAAACCATCCCCAAGGGCTAACTTCTAAGACAGCTTCATTCCTAACAGGACAATTTGCTTGATTAAAAACCTTCCATCCCTGAAGGACAAAGGGCCTTGAAGCATTATGAAAAAAATGATTCAAATGAGCCCTGGAAAGAGTACAAGAGAGTCTTACATCAGCTCCAAAACAGGACTTGGAGCAGGTTACAGTTGCTTCAAATCACTTTCTGTGGATTAACACCACAAAAAATTGTAGCTGAATTGCAGAAAGGTTTTAAGGCATATGGAGCTTGCATGGAAAGCTAGACGGGGGTGGGGAAGGAAGAGAAACATAAAGAGACTGGCTGGCTAGGTTAAAAATGCACGCTTAGCAAGCTCCCTCCCACGGTCACACACAGGTGACTGAGCCACAGAGCAATGCATTTGTTGGGTGTCATGTCCTGCCTTGCTCTGTGTATAATGAGGTCTTGCTGCAAAACACAAAGCCAATTGGCCAGGGCAGGAAGGAGGTTGGTGATGCTGCAAGTGGGCTGCAAAGGAAATGGCTTGGAGGTGGGCCGGGGACAAAAGGAACTGGAGGTGGGACCCCTGCAGCAAGATAGTGAAAAGCATCCAGTTCATTCAAGGCTGGAAATGATCAGATCAAACCCACTTTCAGTATTGATTCTGCCTTTCATCTCACAGCCCAGGGGTTCCCTACAAAACAGGGTCTCCAGCCACTTGCCGTTAGTGAGGGACGACCTCTCAGCCTGCCTGTGCCGCACAGGGATGCTAACACAAGACCCCCATCTCCAGTAGCGTGGCTCTGGTCATGGGCTTTGGAGACACTTCCACACAGAGTCCTGCCTGCAAGGAAACAGGCCCCACAGCCACAGAGTGGTCCTCACTTCAACTCTCGTTTTATCCAGGAAGGGGCCAAAACTATCAAATGCAAAAGTTCAAGACTTAATGAGTACCTTTGACCACATAGCTAAAACTTTGCTGAATCTGAGAGGTAAAACAGGCACATGCACCCGCACCAAGAGCATAGTGGAAGCATTTTTTTTTAAGCAATGACAACCAAGCAGTGCTTTGATTTGAGTCCCCCAGCTGACGGAGAGCGCGCAGCATCGTGGCCACACTGCGACATCCCTGCATCTGTGCCCAGTGAGACAGGAAGGAGGTGCTTTCTCCTGAGCTGCTACTACCGCACCCCTGAGGGCTCAGGTGGCACCTGTGAAGCGTTAAGCTCCTGCAGAACTCTGAGGCTCCCCAAGGCGAACCTGTATGTGAAGATACGTGTGGGCTCACACTGAAGCAAACTCACAGCATCAAATCTCTTGTTGCAAGGGCTGCTGCTGAAAAGCAGGGCCACAAGTGCACTCCCACAATTGCTACTGCCGTGGGTCAAGCCCCAGGACCCCCTCCATTTTCACTGTGTAACACAAAGGGTAAGTGGCTTCCAAATTCTGAAGCAAACCCAGTAGTCACTTGACATTTACATTTGCATTAATTAATTTCTTCAAAGCTAATGCAAAGGTTTGAAAGCAAATTACTAATGACACATCCCTTTACATCTAAATGACTGCTGTCACTATTTAGAAAGGAAGAAACGAATGACGGCAAACTGGGAAGTGTAGCACTCTGAGCTGGCACAGATCTAGGCAAACTTCACCTTGCAGTGATGGTCTCCCTGAAGCACATCTTGTTCTTTCAATCCTAAACTTCTCTTGGGTATAAAATGCCAACTGTGTGTATCGGTTCTGTGGTATATTCAACATGACATTTACCAAGCACAATGCCATGAAGATAAAGAAGATCAATACACAAAGCAAAGTGGAGACAATGGCTGGCCAAAGATAGATCCTTTTCTTGGAAATAACGGAAGATTTGTATTTGGATAAGAAGGAGGTTTGGGTTTTTTCATTCCTCTCTCTTGTTATTTCCCAGAAAGAAAAGTTAAAGGGGGAATTACCAAACTTGACATTTTGGCACATTTGAGCTTTTCTACGTAGCAAATTAAGCAAAGAAAAATGAATCCCCATGCAAAGAAATATTAACCAAGTCAGAATGTTTCAACCTTGCTGGGTTATTCAATAAAGCCATTTTTGGTGAAAAGCTGCTGATGTAGAAAAAGAGAGAATGCAGTTAGACTAGAGCAGGAGCTCCTCCGGAAAGACAATTTTTTACCTGTTTTAGGTTTGTCTCGCATCGGCGTCATGTACCCGTCCTCATCCAGCTCTCCCCGGATGACCCGCTCGGGTATGAAGACCGTGGGATCAGCGCTGTACCTCTGGGTGCTGCTGTCCTCTTTTGCCAGGGTTGCCACTTGTTTTCGTAGTGTGCCATTACAGCAAGTATCTTCAAAGATCTCTGCTGTGGCCCCTTGAGCAACTGGGGCTTCTGGTATTATGCAGCCAGGGGCTCTGTATGCCATCGGCACTTCTGCAGCACAGCCACCATCTCTATACACAAACTGGTTCTGTTGAAAAAGAAAAGGCAGCATGAGAAAGGAGGCTCCGACAGGAGAGAAGATTCAACAGCAAGTCACCTCTGCGGCTCCTGTGCCTTTCCTGCCACACTTGCTCAATGAAGCATTTCACCAGGCAGGTGAAGCCTTGTCCATCCTGCAGACTGCTGCGTTTCCAGTGCTGCGGGATCGGCAGCATCACAGGCTCTGTTGTGGACTGGCAAAGCATCCGTCTGCCCGGTGGTGCTGAGCCGGCTTCACCTCCCAGGGAGGTACCATCGGTGCAGCGAGGGGAGCAGGGAAGCAAGCTGGCTGCTCAGGGCTGGAAATGGGGCTAGAAACGGGGCAGAAAAACTTGTCTCCCACCTAGACACGTGGAGGTTGGATATACACAGCTGCCAGAGGCAAACACGGTATCTCTTCTTCTATTTACTTTGACAATCTCCCCCGATTTCTGAACAAAACCCTTAAACCTCATGTTAGGGAAATCTCCTTCTGCAAAGGGGACTGGGGATAGAGGACATTATCATCTCTGAACTCTGTTTATTCCTGGGGGGCCTACTTTTAGGGTGTCCTGCAGTGACGATCACACGGTCACCCAAACACTACGTAATTCCATCAGGTAGTGCACTTCAGGCTGGTGAACTGTGTTCATATTGGTACCTCAACTCAATGGTTCAACTCAACCTACCATTTTGCTTGTCAGCAAGGGTGTACAAGGAAATTTCAACATCATGACCTATAAATAGGAAGGAAAAATGTACAGATTCATCCAAGCCTGTTACCTAAATGCTTTTGCAAGAAAAGTTGGCAGTTGGCAGAATTTTGGGTGTAGGTCCATCGAGCTTGCACATGAATTCAGGCTGAGTGTAGAGATCCTGACTATTTGCTTACATACACATTCATTCACTGTTGGCTTTTGGGCCATTTATGTAGGAAAAAGGGGTTTGAAACAGAAAATACGTAGTGAAGAAAGGAGGAAAACCTAAAGGATGAAGGTTGAATGTGAAATACTTACTCCTGACATAGGGGTGTAGGCAGGAGGAGGGCTGTGTCCAATTTCACTCTAATAGGAAAGAAAAATGGAATGATGGATACGTAATAAGAGGTCACATGAATGAAACAAGTCACATGAGCTGTATGAGCTAATGGGGAGAAACATGCACATCAGTTAGATTTCCTAACTGAATCCAAAATTGAAAGAATTCAATCATGGCAAATGTCTCACCAACATCAACAAGCTGTGTGCCTCACCAGTCTTAGGGAGGGCTACTGAGTTCCTCTTGCTGGGTAAGGGCAAATGCCCTGTTACACCCGCTGACAGCTGTACATCCTGCAAATGTCTCGTGTCTAATTTTTGGAAAGGCAGATTGTACAGAAAGAATGACAGACGGTGCACTCAACTTCAGAGGAAATACAGGGCAGGAGAAGTGCAGAAAGCATCTAGCTCCGAGCCAAGGCTTCCTTTCCCAGGGACAAAGCAGAAGAGGGATAACTGGGAGGGCAGAAGGGTGCAGGACTGCCATTAGACTGTCACAGCTAGCTTAAGTATCACAGGAAAAACAGTCCCTAGCCTTTGGTAAACCCAAATAGCACAGCAGCTGCTGGATTTCAAGACTGCAACGTGCCATGGTCCTGCCCTCAATATATACCACCCTTCTAATGTTACCTCTATCACAGGCTAAGAGTTTTTACCGAGAAGTCTAGAGGCTTCATCATCAAAGTATCCATGCAGAGATCTTCATTTTGGTATTGGTTTCTGGAACCATCTTACACTGCCCTGTGGACCCTGAACTACTGTAACATCACCAGCACAGTGGCTGCATTTATACTTATTACTGCTACTCAAAACTGGCCTGTTTTTCATTGAGGAAATGCTGATTTTTGGAGGAAAATAAAAATAAAACAAAGAACCCTTTATTTTTAGTGTGTTTTTCTACTGCCAAAATGGTTTTTTTGAGACTATAAGTTCAGTTCTTCATAACTACTTTGTTTCCCATTTTGTTTCAAAAACTTTATTTTATTTCCCTTATCTCCTAAATTGGGTGAAAGAAAAAGTCAGGGTTTGAAAAAAGAAGGTCTATACTTGAAATAAAGGGAAAACCCACCACCTCAGGAAAGAAGTCTAACCACCCTGAGAACACTCCACTTTAGAAGATAACTCATTCATTAAAATCTGTTTCAAAACCATATCCACACCAAGAAACATACCGTAATTAAAAGAAAAGACAACATGCATCCTCACATAGTAAGGACTGAATGTACTACAGTCAATCTTTCCCTTATAAACTTCTTGCCAAAACATCAGGATGGAGATGATGGTCGCTGTCAAGGTAAGATACATCAAGATGATGTATCTTACTTTATAAAGGGATGGTTTGTGTTTAAGCAAAATACCTGCATCAGGAAAAACCTTAAAAACAAACATAAACTTTTTAAAATGCATGCTGCGTGTCTGAAGACCCTTTTCTGGTGACCAAAAATATGCCCATTTCCTTCTATCTGAAATATCCCCACAGCCATTTTGTTGCTCAGATCTAGCACCTTGTGTTTGAGGTGTAAACGTGGTGATGAGCTATAGTTAGAGATACACTTTTCCCCATCCCCATGAAAATATTTAGCCAAGTTATGACCTAAAAAAGCCTCCAGGTTGCAAATTACAAAAGCGTAGGAAAACCTTTGTTAGCTGAATTGTCTATCCGCACCATCCATTAGCAAGGCTTGAGCAGTAGTTGTTTTTCCCCAGGGAAACTAGGTGCTGAAAGGAAACACAGAAGAGGATCTATCCCATGGTCTCAGTGACCCCCCTGCCAGTGGGGGGAGAAGAAGGAGGAAATGGCAGTCTGAGCAGACTACAAAGGAGTTGAGAGGCTTGCAAGGAAAGTGTGGCTGGAGGAGCTGGCAGCAGGGATGGTCAGGAGCCAGGGAATGGTGGCTTGCAAAGGAACAGAGGACAATGGCAAGTGAGGGTGACTCTGAGGTGCAGGGAGGGAGAAAGGGTTGGCATGTGACAGGAGGCTGAGTAGGACGGGAGAGATGGTAATAAGACCTAAATGCAACAGGGGGAAACAGGAAGCACAAGGACAAAAGGCAGTCTGAAAGCACTGAAAACAGCAGCTTCTCTAGAGGCTGGAGCTGAACTTGAATCTCCTCTGCTGTCAGCAAATCGCTCTCAAATTAAATGGCCAAATGCAGGCCTGGTTCAGCTGGTGCAGAGGGAGCTGAGCAGCCGCCGGGCCACCCTTAGCACAAGTGCTGTCTTGTGCAGCCAGCAGGAGCTCTGAGGACTCTGTGCACAGGTAATAGGGCTGAGGGAGGAGGGGCTGAGACACCACTGAAGTCTAGGCCAACCGTGACTGATTTCACTAAGCGTTCGCCAAAGAGCTCATTATGTTTGAAAAGCAGAGCTTAAACTTAAGCCCAAGGCCTGGAAGCAGCTTTGGCCTCTCTGACCCAGCTGTGGCTGCTGACAGCCAGGGAAGTGAGGATGATGCCAACTGCAAAGAAAGTGCCGTCTAAGGCAGTACAGAAAGAGATGGCAGAGGGCTTGGCTGGATCAGCCCGGAAACTTCAGTGCTGCCCCATCTGTGTGTGGTCTCTCTCTTATTCAAGACAAGTGCACTTGTATCCAGAAGAACAACAGCCAAGGAAGGTTCACAAGCAGGGAAGGAAAAACCAAAGTCAGCAGTTGCCTGGCTGAGATGATCACACTTGAGAGAGAAGATCGTCACAGAAGAGGGAACAGAAGACACTTTACCAGAGATTTTTTTTTTTTTAAAGGGAGCAGACATCAAGGTCCTCAATACACATCTGGATACAGACTATGCAGCAAGCTTGTAACTTGGTAGTCGTCTGCAAGAGGCTTGTTTGGGACAATTAGGAATGTCCCTTTAAACAGGGAACACCGTGAAAACCAGGGGTGCTCTGATTGCAGAGGTCAGATCCTCTCTGAACCCCCTCACCTTTCTTTTGTACCACAGATTTACTATCACCTTGTCATGACACATGGACAGGTTACAACCTAGAATGTGTTAGACAAGCGGATAAAAAACATCCCCTGAGCCTGCCAGATGCAACTTTGAAATCTTACTGATGGCTACAGGATGTTGCACTGCAGGAGACTTAATCTGCCTTCTCCTTGCCCTCTGATCTTGTATTTACTTGAATTCAGGGAAGCTTTCTGTATACTCCAAAAAGACGGACAAGGAAAGACTGAAGTAGTAAACCATGGTCCATGAAGGGTGGTGAAGATTTAGGCGAACTGATCATTACAGGTAGGATCCAGAGAAGAAATACCAAGTGCTGCCTACAGAGAGTCAAGTCTCTTAACAGCAAGGAATCCAAAGCTCTGCTGGGAATCCTCTACCTCCTTGTAAAGCTCCCCAGCTTCCTTCCCTCCCCCCTGCAGGCTGCGAGACTCCAAAGAGGGGGTTTGCTTCTTTTGGTTTCCCAGGTGGCTGCAGCCCTGCAGACTGTACAAGAGTGAGAAGAGCTGTAGCAATACTGTGTTAGTATTATATGCAGGGGATTGGCGTTCACTGCTGTCCGCTTTTCGCAGACTAAACCAGTGACTGTAACCACTCCTTTTCTATTCAGTACTACACTGTGCTATATTACACACCTTTAATTTACATCTTTCTATTTTCACAGAGGCACTCCCATGAATTTCAACTTGTGGTTCATTGATTCTGGATGAATAAAGGGAGAGCTGTCTTGAACTACTTTTAGTTCACAGCCCACAGTGATCTCTTATGCGTTAACTCAGAAAAGCAAGTCTTTTGTCAACAGGCTTGGCTTCAGTACACAGGGCTATGCTCCTCTGCCAGTAAATGTTTAGATGATTAGCCACTTAAAAAAAATATTGTTCTAGGACAGCCACATTATCTATCCGTGGGCGTGCTTTGCTCCACCCTCATCACAAAAGGCTAAACTCACCATCCTATCTTTGGATCTTCTCGGCCGTGACTCTAACATTTAAATACATACTATGCAACTGTAACAACATAATAACAGGCCCTCTTAGAATAGCCCCGTCTCAAGATGTCAGGAGAGAATGGACTAGCATTAATGCATTTATTGCTATTTTTGCTGACAGGACACTTCCCAGTCAGCGACCTGCCAACTAAGATCACAGTAATGGTATTTTCTTCATGCCTCCCCTTTAGCTCTGTACTAAACATAGCTGTCTTGCAACACCCTTAACACAGAACCTTACAGCTTGGCTCTTCTCCAAACCACTGGTGTCTGCACACTTTTTTAATTCTTTACTGTTTTCCCCCATGAGTTAATACCCTGTGGCCACTGTTCCAAAAAAGGAGGCAAAGAAAACAGGTGTGGTGCCAATTAGTGGGGCTGAAAATGTGATATAATTGTTTAAATGTCTTTATATTGCCTGCTAATTGCAATGTGATGTCATCATTTTTTAGGCTTCCAAGATAAGTACTGAAAGCCCCAGCCAACCCTCATTGGTCAGGACATGAATCACACTGTGAGCTGAAAATACATTTGGACTTCACCAAGTAAAACTTAAATAGCTTCATTTGTATGTGTAATCCAATTTACTTTGTTGATTTTTTTTTTTGGTTGTTGTTTTGGCATCTTAAACACTATCTTGAAAAAAAGAGCTGATGTTCCTTTACTGAGAAGATCTGGGTTTTTGGATTTCTGATCCTGAAATTCTGAGCTGAATGATCAAGATCTCTAGCTTGTTGAGATGGACAGAGACTTCAGAGGCTGGCTGCTCAAAGACCTCACTACATAAACCTACTTAAAAAGTCTCAACTTGCATACTAAAAAAAAAATAAATTTAATCAATAAACACCCCCTTTTGATAGTGTAATATGCATTACATCCATTAGCTCTGGAGTGCACACATCCATCGACATTTAAACTCTAAGTATCCTCCAGAAGGAGCCTAGCCTTTTTAACTGCCCAGGAGCAGCCCTAACCAGAAATGCCCGAGATTTCATTCCTCATACCACATGATTGAATTTTAGGCACAAACATGACATCAGGGAGAAAGATAAAAAACAAGCAAATGTCCCCTAAAGCCTTTTTAGAAGCCCC